CAAACCCGCGTGTCCCTCCATCAAAGCGGCGAGCGGTGGGCGATCCTATACCAAACCCGCGTGTCCCTCCATCAGAGCGGCGGGCTGGTGAGTTTTACAAGACTATGCCGTTACTCAGCACTAAATCACCAGAAGGATTAACAGGTGACGAACAGCAGTCTCCATTTGTAAAATAAACAAAATAGAGCCCAAACAAGAACTCGGGGAGTTCTGCCCACTCATTCTCAAACCAAAATGTTCAACTGCTCTGAGATCATGTGCCACTTTTAAAAGAGATCACCTGCTACTTAATACCACCCTGTTACTAGCCTGTTTCCTAATGAGGCCTGAATGGAGATCACTGACATTAGCTAATCTGCAGATGGACGGGTTTGCCGAAAAGCCTCTCTAACTTAAGCAGCCTCTGCAGACATCTTCACAAACGATCTTATTAATATAATAAATAAATGAATGTTAATGTTAAATATTAATAAGCTCATCTTCAGCTGAATGTGACGAAGATCCTGACCACAGAAAGACCATTTGCACTAATGAACTGCAGGCAACACATAAAATTTCACAATTTAAAAAAAACTTTTTAATAATGTTTGTGGCAGTTTTGAGTCCTTGCTGGGACACGGCTGTGACTTTTGGAGGTGATGTCCCTAACCCACCTATATGTCCCCACAATGTGATACAAAACTGTTACGTTGATGTTCTGGGGAAAAAAAATTCGAACCCCACAAGGATTTAAAAAAAACTGGTGACTGCAATCAAAAAACTAGAAATACCAAAAGACTTGTATTTTGATTGCTTACTTATGGTTAAGGTTAGGGATGGATAGGATTATAAATACAGATTAACCTTTACCTTACTTTCACTCCCGCCTACGTAACATTTCTGTTCCGTTCTTTTTTGAAACCGGTGGAAACGCATTCTGGATCTCAAAAGGCACCAAGCGAGAATCAGCCCAGCATCAGCACCAGAACCACGTGGAAACGAGGCAAGAGTGAGAGGCTCCCAAGGTTTCCTCCTTCTATGGAGTTTTTCCTTGCCACTGTCACCTCTGGCTTGCTTACTGGGGGCTTTGGACAGGAATAATGTAAAGCGCTTTGAGACAATGTAACGTTGTGAAAATACACTATACAAATAAAACTGAACTGAATCGAAAAACACAAGAAATTCAAATAAGCACTAATGAAATTTCAAAAATGCATAAAATAAATGAATAAAACAATTGAAATGGTGTGTGTGTGTGTGTGTGTGTGCGTGTGTGTGTTGTCCAGGTGCCCTTTGGCTTGCTCTCCTTTCCTGAATCCAGCCTCTCCCTTTGTTTTCACATGGTCTCCTAAGGGCTCCTTTACAAATCCTGAACATCAATAGCTAGAGCTGACACCTTCAGCAAAGCCCGGAATGGTCTCTATACCAGAAAGGTAATAAAAACAATTTACTGGCCTGGGGCATTTATGTCTACTTTATTTATTGAAAGTACACTCTAGAAATACCCCCCCCCCCCCCAGCTGTAGCCTGGGAGCAGATCCTATTAGTGAACAGTGTGTTTCACAGTTCAGCTGCTCGCTAAGGGAATTACGCAAAGCCCAGATTACCTAAAGGACAATCCCCAACCTGTCAGTCGCTGTTGTAAGTCACAGCAGTGGAGGAATCCTGGAGGGGAATAGGGGGCCCTGTGATCTGGGGCAGCATTGGAAGGGTAGGTGGGGGTCGGGGGGCGGGGAGAAGAGGCCCTATTGCTGGCACCCATCACTCAAACTCAATCCTGTCGTCGGGGGGGGGTTTCCGTAAAGTCTGGAGTTTGTGCCTATGATGTCGGACATCAATAATAAAACACACTGGTTTGGAAGGAAGGCAGGATGCTGCTCTGACTCCACAGCTGTCTAACTACGGCCATGTTTGTGGGCTGAAATTATCGCTGCTCGCCGTGCAATTAGTCAGCCGGCAGGATGCAGCCGCATGAGACGGGGGCGGAGCTCTGTGACTCGCGATCAGCTGCACAACTCAAATTCCACACCTGCGACCTTTGAGGTTTCGTGTATTTGATCACCTTGCTTTAACAAGCACGATTCATATTTATAGTCAACTGAATCATTAATATTAAACATTCAGTATAAAGTAAATCCAACACAAAATGCTGATATGGCATCAGAAGAGCTGTACAGTAATTTACAAATTCTCAGTAAACTTTCTGACTGTAACAATTTTGCAACACACTTATGCTTATTAAAGGAACAAATACAAACTATTTTGGAGAAAAATACCAAATAACTGCCTCAAGAAGCAAAAGAGACAGTCTACAGTTGGCAAATGCTCCTCTGGAGGGAGTAACCTGCTATCCTTTCACTCTGAGAGCTCCCCCTAGTGATCGAAGGGCGGAACACCGCTTCAAATAGATGTCCGACACATAGTTAGTAATTTATATTGCTCCGATTGAGCATGGGGGCGTCAGACACTGGAGGACCCTAATGGGAACCATTCATCTGTGCCCATCCTCCTGTCAGCCAGCCAAATATTGGTCGCAGCCAGAAAGGTGCCCCTGCTCTTCACATGTAGCTCCAGTACTTTGCCCTGGAGTGACTGGACGTCGCTGTACTCAATCTGGAAGGAGACAAGCAGCAAACCCAAATCACCATGCATCAGCAATATAATGAACAGCAATGTGCTACACAACAGCCCTGCCAAGGAAACAAATCGCACACTTAAGGACAGTCGCATAGGCTGGCAGAAGCAGCCCTACAGTTCATCCTGGGACAGTGTTCATCGTCTCTTTACCAGGATCTGAATGAGCTTCCAGTAAAACGGGCACATCCTTATTGTGGAAGTATATGTGGTGGTACAGGATTAGGTACAAAAATATGCCTGAATCACTGTCTGAAACTATGGTCCCACCCACCCAATCGAAGACAACAAAAATGGGAGTGTACCAGCAGGGATGGTAAAAGATGGATTACAAAGGTAAGGTGGTCATCCAAGAAGGGAGACTCAAGGTAATGCAGAGAGCAGGATCTCTGCCAGAGTCTCGCCCTGCGGCCCTGCTGCCCTGCTCCCCTGTGGCCCTGCTGCCCTTCTCCCCTGCAGCCCTGTGGCCCTGCTCCCCTGTGGCCCTGCTGCCCTTCTGCCCTTCTCCCCTGCGGCCCTCTGGCCCTACTCCCTGTGGCCCTGCGGCCCTTCTCCCCTGCGGCCCTGCTGCCCTGTGGCCCTTCTCCCCTGTGGCCCTGCTGCCCTACTCCCCTGTGGCCCTGCTCCCCTGCTGCCCTGCTCCCCTGTGGCCCTGCAGCCCTGCTGCCCTTCTCCCCTGCGGCCCTGCTGCCCTGTGGCCCTTCTCCCCTGTGGCCCTGCTGACCTGCGGCCCTCTGGCCCTGCTCCCCTGCTGCCCTGCTCCCCTGCTGCCCTGCGGCCCTACTCCCCTGTGGCCCTGCTCCCCTGCTGCCCTGCTCCCCTGCTGCCCTCTGGCCCTACTCCCCTGTGGCCCTGCTGCCCTTCTCCCCTGCGGCCCTGCTGCCCTGCTCCCCTGTGGCCCTGCTGCCCTTCTCCCCTGTGGCCCTGCGGCCCTGCTCCCCTGTGGCCCTGCTGACCTGCGACCCTCTGGCCCTGCTGCCCTACTCCCCTGTGGCCCTGCTCCCCTGCTGCCCTGCTCCCCTGTGGCCCTGCAGCCCTGCGGCCCTGCTGCCCTTCTCCCCTGCGGCCCTCTGGCCCTACTCCCCTGTGGCCCTGCGACCCTGCTGCTGGCAGCATCTCCCCAGACAGCTGGCACCATGACCGGCCAGGTTCCTCACCAGCTCATTGAACGTGGGGTTGCTGCTGTTCCGCACCATGTTCGTCTTCTTCTTGGAGCAATTCCCCGGGTCCGGCCGCAGTCGTGTCACCACGTAGGCATCAGGACAAGAGCCATTGGGCATCCTCTGGGTCATGTCGGATGACAGCACAATTTAGGGATCACAGCGAATGAGTTACAGGCTCCTAGAGTCGTATATCTACTTTGAACTTGTCTATAATTTCAATATTCTTGGTATTCATTCATGTTCACCAATTATGCAAAGAGTGTCTCATTTAGTCTCTCAGGCTTGGCATACAGTTGAGAGGGCCATATATTTATATGCAGCAGATATTTATGAATACATCTGTGCATATAAGTCATAAGTGATTCCTTCTGCACAAATCCCTGAGAAGCTGACACAATAAATCACAAGTGCATAGGAAAACTCTACCAAGCCCTGGGCCCACGGTTCAGAGGTTTAATCTGATTTTAACTATGATTATAAATGGAGCAATTTCCATTTCTTATATATTTGGAGAGCTTCCCCCTTTACAGTCTTTGACAGATAAATTATCAAATGGGCTTGAGTGGAAAACAAATTCAAGGGAATAGATCAATTTAATTTCTCCAAGAGGAACAAGGTTGGCCAGGCCTACTTATAAAATATTACATATTATATTGTTATAAATGATATTGAAATTATTATATGTACAGTAACTATGACATTGAAAACCGTCAGTCTGGTAAACAACCATAGTGTGAGTGACCAACAAAAGCGAAAAGGTGACAAGGACGCCACTTAGGGAACTGACAATGTTCTTGAGATGCTTGATGAGAATCGTTAGCTTGAGGTCCTTGTAGGTCATACACAGCTGGATCTGAGGTTTGCTCGGCCAGGCCAGGTCTGGAACCCACATAGCAGGAAATGTAATGTACCATCAGATTCTGCGGCTGCCTCCCTCTGATTCTCCATCCATCCATTCACAGGCAGACATTTTATTCATCACAAGAACGTTCCACTAACAACGATATTGGCAGAACTGTGTACATGTAAAAGGGATTATTAAAACTATGATCAAATGTGAGGGCTGACATTGTGCAGCATATATTGTAATAAGTAACCAAAGAACTGAAACAGAATATAACTCATAACCTAGAATGATACATATTTGGAAAACAGCACCTTTTTTGGATTCCTCTGCTGTATGTGTCTTGGGACCATCAAGAAACAAACTGCACACAACTTCATTCTGTGAGCAGATAGAAATCAGGAGAAGAAGCTTCAGCCTTCCATGATTATCTTCATGCGGTAGATGTCAGAAGGAGTTCTGCTACTCACGCCTTTGCAGGGACCATTAAAGAGCTCTTTCAGATATTTGTTAAGCAGAGTCATTCTCCTGCTGGCAGTGAAAGACAGTTTGTACCAACCAGGGAACCTGTGAATTGCCAGGTATAAAATAGGCTGTTATATATTCATCAATACATTTCATCCAGCTTTGCTTTAGCAGTGTGTTCAAATATAGAGAAGATGATGGCAAAATAGCTTCTGATTCTGAACACAAGTGAGGGCACATAACACCCAACAGCTCAAAGCCATCTACATAATAATAATAATATATGGCTAATACAGAAAATGGCTTAACACAGACATCACACATGAACAGGATGCACCCCACACTTATACAATTATTGCAGACACTGATGGGACGCTGGAGAACAACAATCCACCTTCACATCAACAACACAACAATGCTAACAAATACAATCTACATCAGGAGAGATGTCTTTCGGGGAGATGTGCTCCATCCTCTCTGGTTCTGTCTGGCTCCTAACCCACTATCAGACTCAGTAGTACACACTATGGATATAAATTCATTATCCAACACCAGCAGAGCATCCAGTCTGCCGGAACCAACGTGCACGTACAGCATCTGCTCCATATAACAGGGAGTTTGGCCTGGACAAATGCAAAACACTCCATGTAGAAGAAGGAACCCTGAGACAAGGAGGCTTGACTCTTCAAACTGGTGACCAAACTGGTGCAACGACAAAGAATGAGCTATACAAGTAGCTGGGATTCCAACAGGCCAGACTTACTGAGTATAAACACATTCAACACACACTAACCCTAAAATCACATCTACACACTTACAGTCAAAGCCATCAACACATATGCAATACCAATACCAATACTTACATATTCCTTTGGAGTAATACACTGAACATCCACAGAGTTACAACAGCTCCAACGGAAAACACGTACACTACTAACAAGACAAACATCATCACCCAAAATCAGCCGCTGAGGCTCACCCTCTCACTGGGGGAAGGTGCCTCACAGACATACCAAATCTCCACAATACACAGACAAACACATGAGAAGCTTCTTCCACATAAAGCAGAACACATCAGCACTGCACGATGTTATAGTCCATGCAGACACCATCTACACACCACTTAACTTACACAACATCCACATAAAACAGAACATATTAAACAAGTGAAATAAGCTGCCCTATGACAGAAGCATAGTCACAGAAAGAATCGGCCGCTACCACAGACCTGACATCACACTGATGGACAAACAGAATAAGACCACATACATTACAGACATCACCTTACCAGACACACACAACCTACAAAAGCCACAGGGATATCCCAGAAAATAATTAAATAACAACAACAACTGATACATTATTGATCCTCTTGGGGCAATTCTCATTACTCCTGCCCCAACTTGCTCTCTGTAGGTGACAGCAAGCTAGCTGAGAAGGTGCAACAACATGTGATAACAGCCATTGTGTAACAGCCATCATACGCAGAAGAATTTCGCAGAATTACAGTCTTTGTACTCACTCTGGGAGCAAGGACTCCACAAACTTTTTCTGAAGTTCCTTGTGGATCATCTCAAATTCGCTGAAGGTTCTCTCGCAGGTCAGATAACCATCCTCGATTTTCACATGGAGCTCATATGTCTGTTCCAAGGTTCATCATTTCAGTACCATGAAGTGCAGTTAGCGAAATGGATATGAGCTATTTAATTTACAAACAATATGGGCACAATGTGGATTCAAAATACACAACTCCATGATTAGCCATTACCTCGGCTAACCACCATTTGCAAATACGACGGCAATAAAATATTAATTTTGCAGCCAATGTGCACATTTACGACCAAATTTCTGAGAATTTTAAAGATCTTTGAAGTATAATGTACAAAATATTGAGTATGGAAGGCTGAAGTAAAGTCTTAAGCAAAGTTGTGGTCACAGTCCAAGCTACCATGACTGAATGACCAACTGATTGATTGGTTGGTTGGTCGGTTGATTGCTTATGCCTGGCACATTACCATACACAGATTTAGCTGCTGACTGTTGACTTCTTCATGGCACATTATATGTCCCTTAATTTTTAAGGTTCAGGATTCGTCACACTGACGTTTAGCATAAATGACTGTTCAGGTGTCTGAGGGGCGAGTCTTACTACTGTTCTGCCTTTGTCTGAGAACTTCTGGATGACGGCTTCCTGGATGTTGGTGTGGGGGCTGGGCACTGGCTGGGCCGGCTGCCTGGCCTTGAGGGACTGGCCGAAGCTGTGGATCAGGAAGTTGAACTTGACTGGCAGACTCAGGCAAAGGCTGTCCTTAATCATCCTGGTGGAAGAGAAAAGTCACATAACAGTTGGGTTTCCCATGAGAAGCAGCTACAAGGCAGGAATAAGCAGCAAGGACACAAACTGGGTGTTAGCAGGTAGGAGGAGGCTATCCAGGCTCTGCTAGCAGGAGGGGAATTAATTATCTATAACCTTTCTTACACTGTAGGGTATCATTCATCAAGACTGAGTTTGGAATCTCTTTTATTCTAATCTGTTTTGTAGGTTATTGTACTGAGACTAAATTAGACAAGTTGTCCCTCAAAACTCAATTCTGTTTACTGTAGCATTTATCACTTGACTTTAAGGTATAACAGGAGTCAGAGTAATGTAATCCCTGGGCGTTGAACCTTTGAGTCCCAGGTCTACCTCCTCAACCGCTATGCCACCCGTTTAGGGTACGTACTTAGTGAAGTATGATGCAGCTTCCAGGTCAGAATCCTGAGGTCGGAGGTTGTTGTAGACATACTGCAAATCCTGACTGTTCTTCATCTCAGGTAACCCAGCTCCAGTCATCTACAGGCACCACACGAGAAATGACTGTAGGACACACTTTTAATCCAAGCAGCAGCAAAATATACAATACAGGCCTTGTGTTGTGATCACGTCTATTTTAGCCTTACTAACTTAGCCCCCCATTGGATATCATCTTACAGCTAAATGTGCACTAATGAACAGGTGTATTGTGTTTATAGGGTGGATTTTAGAACAGTTCGAATACCGGGTGTGATCAGGGGCATTCTCTCCTTCAGAGACATTCTACAAAGCAGAAGTGGGTAATTCAGATCCAGAGATTAAAAGTCCAGACCAAGATTTTGTTTCAACCAACCAGTTCAGTACTCTGTGACTGTGACTCTTTACACTCAACTCTCTGAAACAAACTCTCGCCCTGAACTTCTACTCTCTGGACCTGAACTGCCTACCTCTGCTAGAATATGCTCTCACCAGCTCCAGGAGGCTTAGCAGTACAGGGCAGCGCCTGCGGATGGCGTTGTAGGCCTTGCAGCAGAGTTCCACGAAGCTCTGGAATCTCTGCGCCATCTTGCCCCCAACCGTGATTAAGTGCAGCATCTCGGACGTGAAGATGAATGGACAGCGGTCTCTGCAAAGCCAGGAGAATGTCCCAGTCAATCAGAAGGTATCCCAGGGGAACAACATGAAGTGAAAACTCGTTTATTTCTGCTTTATTTGTTCTAAATAAAATGAGATCACAACACAAGAATGGAACTTGCTGCTATGCATCTCTGAACATTTCTCTGCTGGGTCTGAAACGCTACTTTCCACAGAATCTTAGAGGGGCTGTATTTTATCTCCGGAGATATTTTATTGCACTGTGAAATTAAATTGAGATTTTAGCTGCTTCCTCACCTCCACTGAAAACATACTTCAAATTACAGTTCCATTACATTGCTCACGTAACTCACCTATATTTCATTCTGAATCTCTTATTTACGGTGTTCATTTCTCCTACATTCTCCTGTTAATTTCTCCTATATTTTAAGTTAAATAATTCAAACAATCCCCGGAGCACTGAAATGGATAAGAAGTAGAAGATGGGTGGATGGGAGTTAAAAATGAAACATCCAGTGTTTCAGCTGCGAAATAACAGGTACAGCCTTGAGACTTAGAGCTGATCTGTGTGGACAGTTGGAGGGGCTTGCCTCTTGATGGAGCCGAACTTCTGGGCGTTGCCCATGATTTTTCCGAAGTCGATATGGAACATGTGCCCGCTGTGTTTCAGCATGATGTTGTCGTTGTGCCGGTCACAGATGCCCAGGATGAAGGTGGCCACACACCAGCCCGCACAGGAATGCAGGAAGTTCATCACAGCCTGGAGATACAGTGGGAGGGAGGAGCACCTCCTCAGTGAGTCGGCACCTCCTCAGTGAGTCGGCACCTCCTTTTCATCCAAAGGAATCACCAGCCTTGTTTTTAAAAACTGTACCCTTATTTGTACAATAGTTTTCTGTATAGCTGCAGGGTCCCTCTGAGTGTAGATCTCACTTAATGGGCTACAGTTGTTTCTTTATTAAATGTTTGTTTACCCATAATTCAAAGTTATTCTTTAGCTTTCTGCTCAGCTGCAGTATCAATGGTAGTCTGATCCGGTAACGGTGCTCGTACCTCCTCATACTCCTCCTCGGTGCGGTTCCACATGTGGAACCACTTCTCCAGAGTGTCCTCCCGCAGGGGGCCACGGAGCCCCCACTCCTGCTGGATCTGCGCCAGGGTCACTGCCTTAGGAATGACCTCTAGCAGTCCTGGTGTAGGGCCGGCATGCACGCGCAGACGCACGCGCAGACGCATGCGCAGACACACACAAAAGAGCATGCGTGAGCACACGTTCCCACTGCCTTTTTTTCTGTCTGTCAGTGTCACTATGTTGCAGATGTTCACTGTGTTGCAGTGTCTATAACTGTTAATGGCAGGAGCAGCCAGCCACCTGCCAGACCTGCAGAATGTTCGGAATTCCACCTCAGCTTTGATTACATCATTAAAGATGAAGAGTTACGACTCCCTGTGTGAACCACGCATTAACTCAAATGTGTGATTTAAGTCAACCGTGAGTCAGTGGGACACCATCTGTATAGGTGTCTCTCCACACCCCTCCCCCAGTGTGGTGACTGTGGATTCAAGATTCCAGATTTTATTTGTCACATGGATTTGGAGGGGTAGGTATAGTAGGGTAAGACAAAGGCTAAACAGAAAATAAATAAAAGGTTATGCACAAAAGTACTGTTGGAAGACAGGATGCAAAATAGCCTTATAAGCAGTTTGCAAATGAGAGACATTAATAATGAACTGACAATTGTAAATAAGTCATCAGGGTTGCTGACTGGCATGAGATTTTCAGTTCGATTCTGCACACACATGCATACACGTTTACATGTAGGTATTATGGTTTTATCACCTTGTAAATAGTCTTTAGGGTTTGCAAACTACTCCAACATTTTTATTGAAGTTAACTTTAAGTTTTTAATGGAATAATATAGATGTGCAATAAGATTTCTTGCATAAGCGTGACTGTCACACCTGCTGCATGAGAGTTGGCAACTCTGAGTCATTCGGCATGTTTTTTGCCTGAGGACAGAAGCTCTTCTTCAGCCTCTCTGCTTTGGCCATCAGACTGTAAAACCAATGGAACCCATTGCAAAGACTCACCTTGGTCTCTTCCAGTGGCGACACACCTGTAAGTAACCATGCGCATATCCAGGCCACTCTCCAGCCAAATGCGGTCCATCGCACGGACTGCCTGCAGCACCAGCATGTCCTGGCCCAAGTTCTCGCCAGTCTGCAAGACACATGACAACTCCTGAGAAACTCCCCAAACAGAAACCCTTGTCAAACCAGGTATTTAAACCATAAAGCATGGTGGCCTAGCTAATACCCAGGAGAAGCCTGTGTTTGTACCCTTAGCTTAGCCTCCGGTGTTAAAAACAGAGGCCTGTGTTTGTACCCTTAGCTTAGCCTCCGGTGTTAAAAACAGAGGCCTGTGTTTGTACCCTTAGCTTAGCCTCCGGTGTTAAAAACA